ATCGCATATGGACCCTGTCTGGCGCCTGGGTGGTTTGCGAGGACAGCCGCTGAGTTCTTTGGATGGCTACATGTAAGACGAGGGTCTGTGTTATAAACGTATGAATCGCCAAACACAGTCAAATATCATTGTCTCCAAAACTACAAGCAAGACCATGTATGGCAACTCACCTACCAGAACAAATTGAAACCTGCTGGCATAACTCATCGTTAACAAACTAACCACATAAATCGGGGCCAAACATGCGAACAACAATCACACAACCGACAACTACCCAAATGCCAGAGCATGCCCGGGAACCGTGCGTTTTCATGTGACTATACTTGCTGATGCTGCTGGATTTGTGGATATGTAGAACATCCGCACAACTCACGACATGTTCCAAAAAGGGCGTCCTGCCCCTCCACCCCCAGGGTCGTGCAGCCATGCGCAGGCGTGTCTTTTGCGAATTCCATTGCAAACGCGTGTCCTATCACGAAAGGAAGGAGGGAACGGCGAGGATAATAACGGCGCAGGAAGGAAAACAGGGGCGGGCAGAACGGGGGAAGAGGGGGACAGAGGAACGGAAGGGGGGCGGGGAAGCTGATGAGAGAGAAAGCGAAAAGGGGATCGAACGAAAAGGCCGAGGCGGAGGAACCGCAACACGAGGATGAAGAGGACGCTGTTTTTTTTCCCACGTTGGCAGCAATGTATTATGCATCGAAGGGTGCCTCCGAGCTTGCAAGCTGATGGGAGGTCCGTGTCGGCCAATTTTCACCATAAACGCGCGGAGATCGTGGATCGGGGCGCAGGGGGGGGCAAGGAGGCACACTGATCACAGCAGCGGGATGCACTGATCAGCGGTTGAGATCAAACAACTGCATGCACAGAGCTACACATGCCAGTCCTGGTGCCTAGGCCAAACCATCGATCTGCGCCGAACGGCGACCTCCTGTCTGGCAAGCTGATGGCGGGCCCGTCTCCGCCGATAACCGATTATGTGCCCTCGCCGGCCGCGCTTCAACAACCAATTAATTTTCGGATGCCCCGCGTAAAATGCGAACCCCGAACAAACAATTTCGACAGGTTGCTTCGGCGCGTGTCTGCGGCGCGTCTCCACCGCGCCCCATTTAGCCCGGGGTCTTGGAGAGCGGTGGATGAGACCTGCCTGTCTGCGCGCGAATCTCGCGCATCGGGCGGCGGGCCATGGCGCGCCGCTTCAGGAACGGGGCGCGGGCAATCAGGTTTCACCCGAAACGTGACGTTTAGGAGACGACCGAAAACAGCTGCACTCCACCTGGGACGTAGACTCTGATGGAGCATGACTGGTTTCTGTCATAAATAATTGCTCGCAGGGCTCTCGACAGCACTGGGCGCGCCGTGGTGGGCGCAGGGAAAATGCCCCACCCGAGTGGCGGCCAGCGTTGCGTGCCCGACTACGAGAGAGACGATTCAACGCTGCGCCCTCGAAGTGGCGGTTGCCGCGCATGCGCGTGCATTCTGAGGGCGACTGTAAGCATAGCGAGCAAAGCGGGGCAAAGATGGGCGCGGCATTGACGCGACGACACCGAGCGCCAGACTGCTGAACATTCAGCCCGCGACAGTTTGGCCGACAACATAAGACGCAGCTTCCAGATCCACGAGCGGCGGAAATCCACCAGCAAGCACGCGCGCAACAGTCCTCTGAGCGCGCGAACGACGCCGCCCGCGCCAAATAACGAACCAAGATGCCAGGAAGCGGGGGCTGGGCACTTCTCACTGCGAGGCGCCCCTCAGAGCGACTCGCGCGGCCGAAGCGCGCGGCCCCCCGTCGCGGGCCGCGGGCCAGCGCGCCCCCCAGGAGGCGAAAGAGCCGGGGATTCAGCGCGCCGACGCGGACAGGTCGGGCGGCGGCGGTCCGGCGCCAGACGCTCGCTGGCGCGCAGCCGCGCCTCCACCGCCACCAACGAATCCCGCGCTCGCGGCGGCGCCCCCGAACTCGGCATGGCGGCGCGCGCGCCCTTCGCGTCGCGCGGCGTGCTCCTGGGGCGCGGGCGTCGCGACTCGCAGCCGCTCTCGACTCTCGGTCGACGCGAGCAGGCGGCGCAGCGCGTCGTCGCCGACCGCCCCTCGTCGCCGCGCTTGGCCTGGGGGCAGGGCCAGGCGCCCGATCGCGCCAGCCGCCCATTTTGATGGCCCCCCTGAACTGAACGGCGGCGAAGGCCTAGGGGCCGCCCGCCTCGTTCGTCGCGAGTCTCAGAAGCCGGGGCCGCGCGCCAGGGAAGACGCGGCCAATTCGTTTTTCCAATTGGTACGTGGGCAGCGCTGTTGGAAGAGAGCGTCACGCCCGAAGCGATTGCGCGCGAACCGTCAGCGTTGGCCAGTTCCTCGGCCGCTTCCGCGCGAGCTCCACGAACTACTTTCGCTCGAGCAGTCAGTCGATGACGACAGCGCGCCCAGGCCAGATAGGGCCGCGGAGTCTTGGAATGCGCCGGTCGGAAGAGGCCCATTCGCAGGGGGCGCGTTTCTAACGTCTAGATCGCGCCCGCCCACGGGCCGGCGCGGAGCGCATAGAGCGCCTTGAGTTTGAGGCGAAGAACAATCCCGCCGCGTGGATTCGCCCGCGCTGACCGGCCCCCGACTTCGCGACGGTCAGCCGCGCGCAGAGGTGGGCGGGGGGCGGGGGGGGGGGCTTCTTAGATGCGCCCCTGCTTAGGAGGCGCTGACCTTCTCTATAGATGCGAGGCCGGCGCCTTCAAGAAGCGGCCTCCGCCTAAGAAGCCCCCCCGCCCCCCCCCGGCGCGCGCCGCCAAAGCGGCCCCCGAGGCGTCGCCCCGCAAGCCTCCCGTGCCGGCTGGAAGGCCAGGGCCATGGCAACCTGAACGGATGCGACACATTTGCGTCGGCGACGGAAGTGCCCGACGCGCCGCGGCCCTTGGCCGAGCGCCACTCACCGGGGACAGTTGCCATCGGAGGCCGCCCAGGCCAGCCCCGCGCGCTTGCCCCTTCCAACGCCCGCGCGGAAGGAGTAGCAGAACTCGCGAAGCGCCGTTGTCCAGCGCCGCGCCGTCTGCGTGGCGCGGCGTGCCGAAGAGCCAAAGCGCTTGCGCAGCAGCCCCGTGAGAGTCCTTCAGCAGTCAAACGACCGTGCAAACATTCTCGCGCGCCCGCTCGTCAAAATGTCGGGCCGGCATGATTCGGCGCGCTTGCGAAACCGCCGCCGGGCTGCCATGTCTGGCGGACAGATGGGGCAACGCGGTAGGCGCATCAGAGGCAACGGCTGCGGCTTCGCCTCCGCTTCGCATTGTGTCTCGACTGTGCAGCGCTTTTGTGTTGCGTGGAGCGTGATCGCGCGGCGTCTGTCATATATCATGAAGCGCCAAACATTAAACCATGCAGTTCGACGCGATATCTGCGAGTTGGCCGCGTCTTGCCTTGGGCGCGCCCGCCAGCGCCCTCTCCAAGTTCTCTGCAAGGCCGAACGCTTCTTCGGGGTAGCTGATTCGTCTGATCCGCCGCTCGTTGATATCGCTGCTCTCGCTGTCACGCCCCTCCGCTTGGGGCGACCCAAGAGGGTCAGAACGCTGCGGGCGCTGGCGCGGAGAGGCAATCCATATCTGCCCACGCAGTGCATCCGAGCGTTCAGAGCCTCCCGCGCAGTCACAGGAACCGCAGAGCCTGGGACCGCGCGCCGAGCGAAAATATCGGGGGGGGGGGCACTGGCCCCCGCGGCCCCCGCGGCACGCGCGGCGCCGCCCTCGGCGGCGCCCATTTTGCGTTTCAGGCTGTTCGATGTCGAAGACCTGCGCTCGCAGTCCGCCTCGTTCGTGGCTTGCAGGGCCGCGGGCGGCCCCAACTTGCGGCGGCCCAGTGCCGGGGGCAGGTTTGGCAGGGCGGAGAAGATCATCCGTCTGGAGGGGCGCGCGGTCGCGGTCGGTGTTCGGCGCGAACTTCGCGATGCAGTTCGGCGGGGGCGCAGGCCGCCAGCGCTGCGCGACGGCCCCGGGCTGGCCCTGGCTTTCGGGGAAGGCCGAGCGGCGGCCGCCGTCGCCAGTGGAACGCGCCGCGACGTTGCTTTTAAGCGTCATCGAGGGCGCCCCCGAGCGACGAGGCGGCCCTCCGGGCGGCGCTTGAGGGCGCGTTGCGCGAGCGCGAGGTCGACTGGCACCAGCCGCGGGCGGCGGCCGCCGGGCTGGGGGGCGCCCTCCCGGAGGGCCCGTCTTCTGCGTGGGCCGAGCGGCCGCGCGTTGCCGCGGCGGCCGCGGACGACGCGGGCGGGGGCGGCGGCGGCGAGGGCCTTGGCCCCGACGGCGAGGTCGACTGCGAGGCCGGTGGGTCCGACATCGGAGAGGCGACGGATGGCCCGAGCAGCCCGCTGCTGGGCGCCCGCGGCGAACGCGACCCCGTTCGCGCCGCCGGGCGGCAGCTGCAGGGCGGGGCGCCTGGCGAGCTAGTAGGCCCCGCGACAGACAAGGGCCGCGACGCGCTGGAATGCGATGTCGGGCCGTTCGCGGTCTGGGTCCGAGCGCAGCGGTTGGCGAGAGTTTCCGGATGGGCCTGCGCGGAGAATTCGGTGCTTGGGCGATTTCTTTTTCGACGGCAACAACCGCGTGAGGTGCGACGGGCTGCTGTCCAGCCTTGCAATCGAGAGCCCGACGTGCGGCGGCGCCGGGGGGCAGGACACGCGGGCGGGCCCCCGCCGCTCGGCACCTGGCCGGGCGCGCCCGCCTCTGACGCGGCTGGACTTCGCCGCGCTGCTGGGCGCGAGGGTCGCGGCGCCGGGCGCTGGGCGCGGGCTCTGGGGCCTGCGACTTGCCTCGAGGTCGCGCGGGGCGGTGGCCCGAGGCTGCCGAGCGGCGTCGCGCACCTGCAGGGGCGGTCGCCCATCCCGCAGCCGCCGCGCTCGGGCGCCCGCGACCGCGGCCTCCTGCCGCGCCCGGCCGAGGCGGAGGATCGAGAGAAGCAGCGCCGGGCCTGGGGGCGAGGGGCCAGTCTTCGACGGATTGTCCATGGAGGGTTGGAGGAGCGGCATCGCAAGGCGAGATGCGTAGATGAGCAGCATCAAACAGGATGGGGCGCACGTCTGGGCGCGGTAACTGCACGCGCCGCGTAATATTTGGCGCGCGTTTGAGCTACATCCCGAAACGACCGCAGTCTGGCGAGCCCAGCACTCGACTTCCGAAACAACATGCTTCAAACAGGTCTAATCGTACATCGGCCAATATGTCATTTGCTTCGTTGCGCCAAGCTGATTGGCGGCTACAGGCCTGTGGTCACGGCGCTAAGCGCGTCGAAATGCATCCGCGCCTGCCCGGGCAACGTCGAGCGTTTCACTGGCCCGCGAATTCGCGCAGTCCTGGACGCGACCAACATTCCCAACAATGCGTTATCATATCTCTCCAATTTCCGCGGCCCCCATAACTTGAAACAGGTCATGCCGCGTTTGCTGCATTACCCCGATGCCGCGATCCTCCTGCGCTAGTGGAATGTTCTTCAGGCGCCAAAGCGAAGTCTTCATAATTCGCCGTGAAACGCACACTGAACAACACGCAGCGAGCATGCCCGGTTCTTTGGATTGCCGACATCGGTTCTTTGGATTGCCGACATTCGGTCGTGGTGAAGTAGCTGTTCAAAGAAATGGTTGATGCGCATACGGAAACGAAACCAGCCTCAAACCACAATCCGCGAGCAGCGCCATAGACCAACACCGGGTGATGCGCCTGCAGGTCAGCGTCGCTAAAATGTCCAACGCGCTGCAATAATCGATTCGGCAAGCAAAACACCAAACCCGGGAAGATACTCGAGCAATGGCACACGCACTTGGCATTCCGAGCGTGCTGGAAAGATGAATCGGTGGCAATGGCTTCAGACGCATGGGGCTCACTTAAGCCACCAGCATCCAAGTGTTCGGAATGATAGTGGACACGGCCGAAATAAAACTCCATCAAGAAGCACAGCTTGTCATGAACTTTGCTAGCAATATCGGGGCTTCATCTCTGAGCTCAGTCGTCCGCTCGTCCGCCACCATCGTTTCGTAGGCTGTCCCGTGTGGCCCGCCGGGCCAGATTTAGGATAACGCTTACCCGTTGGACTCTCAAGTTCGCACTGTATTGTCCTGCGTTCTGATTTCATCCTGCTGAACATTGTCCAAAACAAATGCCTCTGAAACACGCATCTTGCATGCATGATATTTCCTGTATCTTCTGCTGGTACAGGACGGACAGAGGCACATATGTGTTTCGGCCGCGCTGACGACAGCGGCGGCTTTGAAATCGTCAGCCCGCTGTTTCTGGACCGTTTACGCTTTCCCTAGCGCCTTTCTCGCCGCACTTTCTGATAGAAACGACCTCTTACCGCAATTACTTTCGTGGTGATGTTTCGCAACCTTGTGATGCACACAAACGCCCTATCCCGGCAAATAACTGAGACAGGTTCGCCGAAGTGCGGCCCAAGGCAACCAGTCACCCAATGAGCTGAGCGTTGTCTGCATGCTCTAAGCCTTCCTTGCGCACCTCAACAAACTCAGATACTACCCGGAGATCAACCTCGGCACCCGAGCTGAGATAAACGAAACATCCTGGCTCCAAAATTGTAAAAGCATCGCCGTCTTTGTTTGCGAAACATAATTGAACTCTCCCTGCAACGCTCGTCCAACCCCCGAGCCAGAACGCCAACGCTTATGGGCTGGATCAGTTTGGGCCTCTTCTGTAAACAAAGACATATCGAGTGAATCGGTGCGCATTCATACACACATGTAAGTCACGTCCAAAACAATCATCAAATTGCTCCAACGCTGCTTCGAAATCGCCAGGATTAACATCATTCGCCGCTTTGTTCACCAAAGCGTCTTGGAATGCTTCCTGCTGTGCTTTCTTTGGTAAGCCTCCGAATCTACGAGCGTCGGGCAAAGGAGAAACACCTGGCATACCTAGGGTCCCGGGTGGGGTCAGCTTAGGTGAATTTGCACGCATGCGCGCATTCACGCCGCTGCCTTAGACAAGATCTTCCTCTCGCAACTGCAGTGGGTAACGAGCCGTTCTGGTGCTGAAAGCCCATCGCGTGCTGCAGGAACTTCATGGCAGGACTGCGGCACAGCGATGTTCGCCATAGTTCGTGCACTGTTACATCGCAGTTTCATGCCATGAGCGCGCACTCCCAGAAGAATGAATACAGTCTCGTAGGACCTCGATCTGACAATTCGGGGCAACATGGACATACAATCGAATACAATCGAATGCAAGTCGGCAGGGATGTCAATGTTAGACGGACTCATTTGACACTCCTTCCACCTAATCATGTGCATGATTTAAGGTGCATCGCTGGAGAGGCAGCTGTGGAAAGCTGTTCGCTTAGAAAGAACAGCTTCCAAAGATACGCCGATTCCTCTGAACATCAACCACTGTTTTGCCTCAAGGATGCTGTGCACACCATTCTGGGTAACAATAATCACCTAGCTACTCAAAAAATAAGAGCTGCACATGATCCATGGGGACCACAATCTGCAATATTGGTAAGAGGAGGAGCGCAGACGAAACAACATAAGGATTGGCAGGAGAGGCAGCTTGGGAGAACAGGAACAAAGTGATACGCAGCAAGAGGAACAGGGGGAGCAGGGTTCCGGGAGGGAACCAGGCGAAGAGCAAACGGCGGGGACTCTCGAATCCGCCGACGCCCCCGCTCGCCAGGGGTGCAAAGGCGCGTGAGACGACTGGCTGTCCCCCTTCCCCTTCTCTCCCTCCCGTGGGGTCTGAAATCTGATCAGAGGAGGAGGAGGAGGAGGAGGAGGAGGAGGAGGAGGAGGAGGAGGAGGAGGAGGAGAGGAGGGGGGGGCCGGGAGGAGACCAGGGGGGGAAGGAGGGGGGAGGGGGAGGGAGGGGGGGGGAGGGAGGAGGGGGGAGGGAGGAGGGGAGGGGGGGCGGGGGAAGACCAAGGGGGGGGGGGCGGACGAGCTCGCCGACGCAACCCGGGGGCCTCCAGGGCCGCCGAGCCCACGCTCCGCGGCCTCCGGGATGCCCAGGAGGCCATCGGAGCTGGCTCCGGCGGGGCTCCAGCGTGCCGAGGAAAACCAAGGACGACCAGGCTGGCCTCAAGGCTCGGGGCAGTTTTTAATGCAGAAGAATTTCAAACATATGGGATTGTTAATACATGATTCATCTATGAGTAAATTCATGCATGAACTCCTCGTTGTTTTGTTTACACTTTTTATACATGATCCGCACGCGGAGCATGTATTAAAAACGGCACTGTACCCAAGAGGCCTCCGAGACGCTCCAAGGGGGCGCCAAGAAGCCCCCTGGAAGGGTCCCAAGAAGCAGGAATCGTCAAAGTCCAGAGGGAAACCAGAAAGTTTGAACCGAGTCACAGGTTTGGTTTTAACAACATCCAAGAGGGCTCAAGAGGCCCGCAAGATCGCGTCAAGACGGCCCAAGAAGCCCCCAAGAGGGCTCCAAGACGGCCGAAGAGGGTCCCAAGACAGCCCAAGAGGCGCCCAAGATGGCCCACGAGAGGAGGACACCCAACGAGGCCCCTCGAAGGGCCGCGAGAGACAGCTCGAACCGGCATTCCGAGCCCTCCGCCCCAGACCCCCGAGACCGCCAGCAGGCGCCAGAGAGACTCCCAAGAGGCCCAGAGAGCCCCCCAAGAGGCCCAAAATGAAGGGGCCCCAGGACACACACAAATAAATACACACAAAATTATCCCGGCAAAGCAACCTAACAGCGATGTGTAGAAGCATATCTGAAAGCATTCCCCTTAAGATTCAGATGAAAATCCAGTTGTCGAATTCTGCTGTTCTCGCAGTCGTAGTCGCATTCGCGATGACAGTCGCAGCGGCAACGGCAGTCGCAGTCACAGCCTCAGCCTCAGCCTGCCTCCTCCTCCTCCTTTTCTCCTGCTCCTCCTCCTCCTCCTCCCCTCCTCCTCTTCCTCCTGCTCGTCCTCGTTCTCGTCCTCCTCGTCTTGCTCGTCCTCCTCCTCCTGGTGCTCTCTCCTCCTCCTCCTCCTCCTCCTCCTCCTCCTCCTGGTGGTCCTCGTTCTCCTCCTCCTGGTGCTCTCCCCCCCCCTCCTCCTCCTCGTCCTCCTCCTCCTCCTCCTCGTCCTCCTCCTCCTCTTCCTCCTCCTCCTCCTCCTCCTCCTCCTCCTGGTAGTCCTCCCCCTCCCCTCCTCCTCCTCCTCCTCCTCCTCCTCTCCCTGGTCGTCCTCGTTCTCGTCCTCCTCGTCTTGCTCGTCCTCCTCCTCCTGGTGTTCTCTCCTCCTCCTCCTCCTCCTCCTCCTCCTCCTCCTCCTCCTCCTCCTCCTCCTGGTGGTCCTCGTTCTCCTCCTCCTGGTACTCTCCCCCCCCCTCCTCCTCCTCCTCCTCGTCCTCGTCCTCCTCCTCCTCCTCCTCCTCTTCCTCCTCCTCCTCCTCCTCCTCCTCCTCCTCCTCCTCCTCCTCCTGGTACTCCTCCCCCTCCCCTTCCTCCTCCTCCTCCTCCTCTTCCTGGTCGTCCTCCTCCTCCTGGTCGTCCTCCTCCTCCTGCTCGTCCTCCTCCTCCTCCTGCTCGTCCTTCTTCTCCTGCTCCTCCTGCTCCTCGTCCTGCTCCTGCTCGTCCTCGTCCTCCTGGTCTTGCTCGTCCTCCTCCTCGTCGTGCTCTTGCCCCTGCTGAAAATGTGGCCCAGGAATGGGAGTTCTGGGAAGTCGAAGAGCACGAAGTTGCCTACAGTTGGCTACGGGCATTCAAAATGTGGCCCGGGAATGGAGTTCTGGGAACTCGAAGAGCACGAAGTGGCCTACAGTTGGCTCCGGGCATTCAAAATGTGGCCCGGGAATGGAGTTCTGGGAACTCGAAGAGCACGAAGTGGCCTACAGTTGGCTCCGGGCATGTCAAAATGTGGCCCGGGAATGGAGTTCTGGGAACTCGAAGAGCACGAAGTGGCCTACAGTTGGCTCCGGGCATCCAAAATGTGGCCCGGGAATGGAGTTCTGGGAACTCGAAGAGCACGAAGTGTGTGACTGTTGCATCCGGCCCTCCAGAATGTGGCCCGGGAATGGAGTTCTGGGAACTCGAAGAGCACGAAGTGTGTGACTGTTGCATCCGGTTATCCAGAATGTGGCCCGGGAATGGCGTTCTGGGATCTCGAAGAGCACGAAGTGTGTGACTGTTGCATCCGGTTATTCAGAATGAGCCTGGGAATGGAGTTCTGGGAACTCGAAGAGCACGAAGTGTGTGACTGTTGGTGAAAAACGAGCGGGGCACCCTGCCGCCCGGCAACTCCCAACACCTGCCCGGACCCCCCTGTGGAGTGATCTGTGAGCTCTTTTTACACCACTAGAAACCTATCAGTCTTCACTGTTAGGTAAAAAACTAGTCCCCATATTTCCTCATATTTTCTGGGTTTTTGTCTTCCCCCCACTTCCCATATTTTCCCATTTTTCTGGGGGGAACCGAAGATTCATTGTGTCTGTGTGTTTTCTTCCCTCCTGACAAAAGAGGCTCCCGGAAGGTCCCCATGAGCCTCTGACAGGCCTCCCCCGTGAATACTTCGTTCCTCTTCCTGGGGCCGGCGGGATGGCGTAGGCCTCTTCAATATACTTGCCCATCCCCCTCTCCGTTCTCCTCATCACCAGAATCGCGTTGCGCTCTCTCTCTCTCTCTCGCCCTCGCCTTCGGCTTTTCCCACTCTCCCAGGGAAGAGGCGGGAGATGGAGGCGGGGCGCGAAGGTGGGCCAGGAGGAGGAGGCGGCAGCAGGCCCGGGGAGCGGCCAGCGGTGGACGTTGGCACCCCGTCCGCTCTTGCCTCCCTTGGTTTTCCTGGTTTTCGCCTCCCCTCCCGCCTTCCCCGTCGATGGTCTTCGGAGCAGCAGAAGGACAAGAGGAAGAGGCAGCCGAAGAGAGGGGGAGGTACAGCAGAAGAGGACAGGGAGGTACAGCAGAAGAGAGGGAAACAGGAGGAGGAGGAGGAGGAGGAGGAGGCAGCAGGAACGCAGAGGGAGGGGCAGACAGCGCAGATGGGAGCAACGAGGAGCACAGGGGAGGGACGACAGAGGGGCACCCGCCCGTGCCCCATCCTCAAAGGACCGCGGGCTCCCTTCTTTTTAAAAAATGCTATCCTCTGCCCCACGGCCGCCTCGCTCCCCCGCGGAGGCTGGCTGGCCTCAAGACGAGCGGCCTCGGACTCTCCACGCCTCGGCGACGCGGCACACGAAGAGAGCGCCCGACCGAACGGGACCCAAAAGCCCGCGCGAGCAGTGGGCGCAAGGCCTGGCTACGAAGGAGCACAGGAGGCGCCGGCCACTCGGCTCGGAATCTTGCGAGGAGCGCGGGGGCCAGCGGCGGGCGGCGAGCGCGCGCGCCGTCCGGCACCCCGCACTCGGCCCGCGCGCAGCGGCGGGGTCACGCCCACGGGGCCATCTCCACGGCGACGGTGACGACAGAGGCAGAAGGCTCCACGCTGGCCCCGAAGTCCCAATCCGCCTGCTCCCTCGGCGCGCTGAACACGGAGCTGGACCCGAACCTGTGCGCGAACGGGCCTCGCGGCCCCCGCGCCGCCCTCCCTCCGCCCACGGAGATGGAGATCGCGGTCAGCGGCCAGCTGCTCTCAGGAAGATCCGAGCAGCACTTCAGCTGGACCTTGGCTGGCGCCAGCCACGAAACACACGCACGTGCGCGCACACGCACGTACGCACGCACGCACGAACGCACCCACACGCAATCACACACACACACACACGCGCGCGCACACACACGCACACACACACACACACACACACACGCGGGCACACACGCACGCACCCCACGCACGCGCGCACGCACGCACGCACGCACGCACGCACACACGCACCAACACACACACACACACGGACCAACACGCCCGAACACATACACGCACACACACACACACGCACACACACCCACAGACTCACTCCCGCACACACAAACACACACACACACACACGCACACACACACACACACGCACGCACGCACGCACACTCACGCACACACACACACACACACACACGCGCACGCACACACACACACACACACACACACACACACACACACACACACACACGCACACACGCACACACACACACACACACGCACACACACACACGCACACACACACACACACACGCACACGCACTCAAAAAGAACATATCTCGAGCGAGGCGCTGGTTTCAGCACCCCTGGCACGGGGCCGTTCGCGGCCAGATTGTGGGGAGGGCTCAGGCGGGTCGCCTGCTTCGTTGCTTGGACTTCGCCGCGTGCAAAGCAGATTGTGAACATGTCTCGTGCGAGGCGCTGGTTTCAGCATCCGAAGGAAGGCCCGCCAGGGGTTATTGCACTGGACAGTTCGCGGCCAGATTGTGTGGATGCCTCGAGCGGTTTGCTTGTTTGGTTGCTTGGGCGTCTCTGCTGTCATGGTCGCTTGCGAGGACGTCTCGAGCGGGGCGCGGATTACACTCGCACGAGCCCGCTCGCGGCGGGACGTCTCGGGCGGTTTGCTTGCTTGGTTGCCTGGACCTCGCAGCTTTCAGGGCAATTTGAGAACATGTCTTGAGCGAGGCGCTGGCTGCAGCACCCCAAGGGGGAGCCGCAGGAGACGGGAGACTCGGCCGTTCGCGCCAGGACTGCGTGCACGTCTCAAAAGCGGTTCGGCCGTCTTGTGGCCAGGACTCCTCTCCTTCCCCTGTGGGGCCAGGGTTCTCGCGTCGGGGCCACAACTGATGGTGAGGATGTCCCGTGCGAGGCGCTGGGAGGACGAGCGGGACGAGGAGGAGAAAAGACGAAGAGGGGTTCTCATCCGCCTCCTCCTCCCCCTCTTCCTCATCCCCCCTCCCCTGTTCCTCGTCCTCTTCTCCTCCTCATCTTCCCCTTCCCTCCTCCTCCCCCTCACACTCCTCTTGTTCCTCCATTACCCTTCCTTTATGAATAACTCCTCCCTGTCGCATGCCGAGGCTGGTCGAAAGGGCGGGCCGGGAGTTTCGCCCGAGACGTCCTCACCATTCGTGATCCTGAAGCTTACATTTGGCGTCGCCTGCACGGGTGGAGGGCGGGTCGCTTTCAAAACGGGGTTCGCGCTTCAGCGCCGCACGCATGCACCTCATAAAAACTGGCATCCGTTCTCATAAGCGGAGGGCGGACGGTTTCCAAAACATAACTCTCGCCCCAGCGCCGCACGCGTGCCCTTAAAAGCTCGCATCGGTTTCACAGGCGGAGGGCGGACGGTTTTCTAAATGTGGCTCTCGCCCCAGCGCCGCCCACATTCGTCTTAAAAGATGGCGGGAGTTTCACGGATGGTGGGCGGTTCCTTTTCAACATGTAGCCGTTGTTTTAGCGCCGCGCACACTCGTTTCAAGAGTTTGTAGCAATTTCAAAGACTTGTCTGGCGGACGTCCCAAACATGGTGTTCTGGCACGATGTCGGAATGTCAAGGCGCAAAGGTGTGGTTGGTTCGCTGCGTGAAAGTCCTAGGAATGGGTTCTGGCACTGTTCACGATCGTCAAGACGCAACATTAACGGTGATTCGCGGCGTACGATTGTCTTCCAACATTGCACTTCCGATTGTGAGGGCATATGAAGAGGGAACTTGGAGGGAGGGTGTATTGCAATATCGTCGATGACTCGTGGGCTTACGCTGGTACTCCTCCTCTTCCTCCTCCTCCTCCTCCTCCTCCTTCTCCTCCTCATCCTCCGCGCACGTAGCCTCCTCCTCCTCCTCCTCTTCCTCCTCCCCATCTTCCTCCTCCTCCTCCTCCTCCTCCTCCTCCTCCCCCTCCTCCCTCTTCCCCTCCTCAGTCCTCTCCTTCCCCTCATCCTGCTCTTCACTATCTGCCTTACTCCTGTGGCAGGTTGTAAGGATGTCACGAGCGAGGCGCTGGCTTCAGCCCCCCACCGAGGGGGGGTGCAATATAGATACACACCCAGATCCGCTTCCGTGTCCCCTGGCACGTTGAGGCGTGGAACAATGCCAAGGTCTGCATGGTGTTTGCATTCTAATAAGGGGCCGTCCCTTCCTTTACTAGCAGACTCCTGCGTGCATCGCCCCTCCTTTCCGATGCCACTTCCCTCGTGCCCGCTCGAGAATGGCGCACTTCCAGCATGGCACCTATTGCCTAAACCTCCATTCCACATGTACCCGCGTAAGGATGGTGCACTTCCCACGCGGCAGCTAATGCCTGAACGCCACTTCCACACGTGCCCGCTCGAGGATTATGCACTTCCCACATGGCTGCTAAGTCCTAGACCCCTCATCCAACGCGCACCCGCTCGATGATCGTGCATTTCGCGCATTCCCAGGCGCTGCTCCCAAGCGCTCCAGGGCCTACCAAGCCATGCTCCCCCGTTAAAACTATGGATATGCGTCCCGAGCTTCCAAGACGGCCCGCGCAGGCAACCAATGGCACCAAGATGGCCCAAGCTGGCCCCAGGGCGGCCGAATATTGGTTCAAGACGGCCCAAGGTGTCCCCAAGAGGGCCCAAAATGGCTACAAGCGGACCTCCAACAGGGTCCGAAGAAATGCTAATCAGCGATTGCACATGAGATTTTGAATGCTTTTAGCATTCTCAGGTGCCGTAAGCTCAAGACGGCCCAAGAAGCATCCAAGACGGCCCCAAGACGGCCAAAGAAGGCTTCCAGTGGGACCCAAGACGGCCGTAGAAGGCCCTTCGACGGCGCAAGACGGCGCAAAGACGGCCCCACGACACCCACCTTACGGCCACGAGGGTCCCAACGACGGCCGAAGAGAACCCCGAGCCGGCGTAAGAGGGCTTCAAGACGAACCTACACTGCCTCACCGGAAGCCAACACAGCCCCAAGACGGCCCAAGCGAGTTTCAGCCGCATCACCATCTTCTTCTTCATCATCGTCAGCATCAGCATCAGCGTCAGCATCATCATCATCATCACCATCATCATCATCATCATCACCATCATCACCATCAGCATCATCAACATCATCATCGGCATCAGAAGCATCAGCAGCATCATCCTCATCATCATCAGCAGCAGCAACATCACCATCACCATAATCTTCATCACCATCATCATGATCATGACCATAATCATAATCATCAGCAACATCATCATCATCAGCATCATCACCATCACCATCATCATCACCATCGCCATCATCATCATCATCATCATCATCATCATCATCACCATCACCATCACCACATCCATCACCATCACCATCACCATCACCATCACCAACACCATCACCAACACCATCACCACTCCCAGCATCATCATGACCATCACCATCACCACCACCATCGTCATTATCATCACCGTCGTCGTCATCGCCGTCGTCATCATCGTCATCGTCGTCATTATCATCATCCTCACTCATCACCAAAGTCATCATCCTCATCCTCATCCTCATCACCATCAGCAACAGCAACATCATCATCATCAACATCATCACCATCATCATCATGATCATGATCATCATCATGACCGTGATCATGATCATGAACACAATCATCACCTTCAGCATCATCAGCGTCATCACCATATCACAACCATCACAATCACCATCACCATCGCCATCACCATCATCATCCACATCACCATTGCCAGATTCATCACCATCACCATCACCACACCATCACCACCCCCATAACCACCATCATCATCATCACCATCACCACCACCACCATCATAATCATCATCATCACCGTCGTCGTCGTCATCGTCGTCATCGTCATCGTCATCATCATCCTCCTCATTATCACCAGCGTCATCATCACAATCGTCATCGTCACCAGCATCGTCGCCATCATCGTGACCATCATTGACATCATCATGGTTTCTATCAGCATCATTGCCAGCGTCATCAACATCATGACCATTATCAGCAACAACCGCATCACAACCACCACCACCACCAGCACCGTTATCATTATCATCAGCAGCATCAGCACCATGATCATTGTCCTCATCATCATTGCTATCATCATCATAATCAGCATCATCATCATTATCATGAGCATAACTATCACCATAATCATCCTCATCCTCATCGTCATCATCACCATCGTCATCAGCATCATCGACTATTATCACCACCATCATCGTCTGCATCATCATCAACATCATCACCACATTAGTATTGATGTTCATCACCATCTGCGGAATATTTCTTTGCATCATCAGATGCATCTTCATCTACATCTCTATCGTCATCGTCGTCAATATCGGACAGAACGCGTTTCACGGGGGCTTGCTTTGGGAACATTCGGTGGTGCGTTTCAAACCGGGGGTTGGGGCCCCCCCCCAGCACTCGGCGCCGTCGATGAAAAGCAAGGGGACTCCAGTCCCCCCCAAACCACCCCCTCTCCCGAACCCCCCCCCCTCCCCAGGGGGAGGGGGTCAAAACCCCCCTCCCCGCCCCCCCCTCGGCTCCGGCGCTGGCGGCCGCCAGCAGCGCCCACGGCGGGGACGCAGCGACGATGACCAGAGGCAGCCCAGGGGGGTTGGGGGTTCAACCCCCACCGCAAAATGTCAACCTCCCCCCCCACCCCTGGCGCCGGGGGGTGGGGGTTCAACCCCCCCCCTCCTCTTGGCGCCGGCGCCGGCGCTGGCGGCGGCCAGCAGCGCCGGCGCTGGCGCCGGCGACGGCGGAGACGCAGCGACGATTACCACCACTACCACCACCACCACCACCACAACCACCACTACCACCACCACCACCACTACCACCACCACCGCCACCAACAGCACCACACAACCACCACCACCACCACCACAGCCACCACCACCACCACCACAACCACCACCACAAAAACCCACCACCACTACCACCTTCACCACGATCTACCACACCACCGCCACCACCGCCACATTCACTACCAGCAGCACAACCCACCGCCACCACCACAAACCACCACACCACCACCCCCACCGCCACCACCACCACCACCACCACCACAACTAACGTCCACAAACCACCGCCACCACCACAACCCACCATCACCATCACCACAAAATCACCACCACGCCAGCACCACACCGCCACAACCACCACCACCACAACTCACCATCACCACCACCACCACCACAAAAAAAAAACACCACTACCACCACCACCACCACCACCACCACCACCACCAATCTACCATTCCACCACCACCACCACCACCACAACCACCACCACTACCAGCAGCACAACCCACCACCACCACCACAAACCACGACACCACCACCACCACCACATGCACAAACCACCGCCACAACCACAACCCACCACCACCACCACCACCACCACCACCACCACAAACAACCACCAAACCACCACCAAACCACCACCACCACTTCCACAACCCACCACCACCACCACCACAAACCTCACCACACCACCACCAAACCACCACCACCACTACCACCCACCGCCACAACCACCACCACCACCACAACAAACCACCACACCACCACCACCACAACCACCACCACCGCCACCACCACCACCACCACCACAACCCACCACCACCACCACCACCGTCGTCCCCGTCGACGCTCCCCGCCACCGCCGCCCGCCGCCGCAGGCTCCGGCCGGCGCCGGCCCAGAAATGGAAATCGTCGTCCCCGCCGCCGTCGCCAGCCGCCGCCGACGCAAGTGCCGGCCCGAGGAGAGGGGAAGCCGGGGGGGAGGGGGGAGGGGGGGGGTGAATCCGTCACGGGAGGGGTGGGGGGTTCGAACCCCCCCCCTCCATCCAAGAAGGGGGGGGGTCCGGTTCCAACCCCCCCCCCCTCCAAGCGACCACAGAACGCGTTTTTTTCAATATCGACATCACCTCCACCATCCTCATCATCCTCATCATCCTCATCATTCTCATCACGGCTCTCCCGAGTCTGGAGACACGAGGTGCCACACGTGACGCCCTCTCGAGCGGCCGCCACCCAGAATGCTGGGCTGGCACAGTGGCAGGCCTTGCCGCAGGCAATTGGATACCCAGGCAGAAATTCTCAGCGAGCCTTGCCAGCGAAATGAGAGCCTTTGTTCTGCCCGAGCGGCCTGGCCAACGCCCCCCGCCTTCCGGAAGGAGTCCCCGCCGCTTGGGCAGAGCATCAGCTTGAAGGTGGCGGGAGGCGCGCCTGGGCCCAGCGACACCTCCAGCGGTGGGGACACCGCCTGCTTCTCGGACCCCCTCAACTTCTTCGCGTCCACGCTCCACTCCACGCGGCAGGCGCCGCCCTCCTGTCGGACAGCCAGGCTCTTGTCCCGTGCGCTTATCGACGTCCGCGCCCGCGCGCCCTGGGACCCGGGTGCCGTCTGCTGCGCGGGGAGAGGGGCCACGCACGAGGCCACAGGAGCGGCCGGCGGCGGCGCCTGCGCGGCCACGGGCTCGGGAAAGAAGTACAGCTCCAGCCCCTCCCTGGGCTCGGGCCAGGGCGTCGGGGTCACGGTCGCGAACGGCGTGTGTGCCGGCAGGTCTGCAGGTTCTTCGAAGAAGCACGCGGCCCCCGCCTCGTCGCTCTCCGAATCGCTCTGAGAGTCTGAGTCGTCGCACGGCAGGTCCGAGCCGCAGTCGGTGCTCTCCAGCGAGCGCTGCCGCCCGAAAGGCTCCGTGCGGCTCCGAGGTAGGAGGCGCGGCTGCTCCTCGTCGCAGTCTTCATCGACGTCGGCGATGAACGTGTTCTTGACGCAGCAGCGGACAGTGCGTTTCACCAGCTCGGGGCCTGCAGCAGCGTGTGGGCTGGCCAGAGCCGCCTGCTCCTGCTCCCCGACGAAGTATCCGCTTGGCCTCTCCGGGCTACTCCTGACGCAGGAGCTGCCGGTGCAATGCTGCGACATGCTCAGCGGGAGTGGCTGTGTCCGGCTCCGCGGCAAGAAAGTCGGCTGCTCATCGCCGTCTCCTGCGTCGACTTCGTCGATGAAGGTGTTCCTGACGCGGATGGCGCGCTGCATCGCCATGGGCAGGGCTGAGAACATCGTGAAGCAGCGGGAAGCAAGGACGCACAAAACCTGTTGGTAAAGAGCGTGCGTGGCCGATCAATTGCGTGAGCTTGGGCCAACGGTTGCAGGTCACCGTCGTCGTCGACGCTTCCCGACGACAAGGCATGAGCGTAGATGAGGGGTCGTCGAATCAAATCGGCCTGACTGGTCGTGTGGCGACTGCACGGACCTGCAACTAGGTTCGGCCACCGACGTTCACCAACCGCGGACCGCGCGAAATAAGCCACATGCCCGTGACCTCCTGGCTATTCAGTGGTGGGCATTTCAGAACGGCGTTTGACGCGACGTCGCAATGAAACAATACATGTAAGCGAGGACCCCAAACAGTGAGCTGTTGCACTGTGAAGTGTGACCAAATTATCATGCACAACGTATACATCGATTGTCTTTCTCTCTCTCTCTCTCTCTCCCTTGACATATATACATATATATATGTACTATCTAAGTGTCGCTGGCATGGTGTCGCCGGCGTGTTTGGTCATCTGGGGACCGCTGGTTCAAACTACGCTCGAACACGCCGAAAAGGCATCACAAACATCAAACACACAAACTATTGCCTCCAAGATTGCCCAAGAGGCATCCAATACGCCCCGAGGTGCCATTCGGGGTGCCATCGGGGCGTCGGCGTGCAATCCTTCGCGCCTCCAAGAAAACCTGCGCAAGAGAGGGGCCAAGATACACAGAGAACGCCACTTGGCCCTCCAAGACGGCCAACATCAACCAAATACCGAACGGGATTGTTTAGAGCTGCCGCTGCTGTATAATATGTTGGCCTTCCAGCGCCGCTCGGCTCAATATGGCAGCCCAAAGAAAGTCCCAACAGGCCCAGCCCCCACCCGATGACCTAGGACCATTCGAAAGGGCCCAAGAGAAACAAAGATAGCCCAAGAGGGCCCCAGCATGGCCCAAGAGGGCACCACGAAGCTCCCAAGACAGCCCCAGAACACTCCCCTATACCCACCAGTCTCAGACTGCATGGAAGGACCCTGGACAGCCCAAGAACACCCAAGCCGACTGAAGAGGCCCCAAAGACGGCCCAAGATGGCCCCAAGGCAGCCCAACGGGAACCCGGGACAGCCCACCTCCTGAGGGCCCCTGCAGGAATCGAGACGACCTGTGTCACAGGTTACGGCCTTCTGGGCGACGCTCCGAGCACCACTGCGCAGCGTGATGCGCTGGCACGGTGTCGGAGCTTGCCGCAGACGGCTAGCAGAAACCTATTGCCCAACAGTCCTGCGGTGCTGGGTACGCGCTTTGAAGAGACAGCGCCCCGCGTCTCCTCTCCTCTCCTACTTCCCCTTTCCCTTCCCCTTCCCCTTCCCCTTTGCCCTCCTCCTCCTCTCCTAGTTCCCCTTCCCTCTCCTCCTCTCCTCTCCTAGTTCTCCCCCTCCCCCTCCTCCTCCTCCTTGCCCCCGGGCGGGCAGCCGGTTGGTGTGGGCGGCACCTCCCGGCGTCCGGGGGAACTGAAACCCGCTTAGTCGTGGCCTGTATGGGGGCTGCGCCACTGCCGAAACCACCCACCCACCCACGGCATTGCCGTGGGTGGGTGGGTGGTTTCGGCAGTGGGGGCACCGACCCCGGTCTTCGGGCCTGAACGGTAATCCCGATTCGGCTACGGCCGATTCGGGTCCCCTACACTGTCTTGGCCCGGCGACTCCCCGGTCGCGCTAGGGTGTGGAGGGGGGGTCTGGCTTCGGCCAGGCTCATGGGGAGTCCTGCTCTGTCCCCCTTGGGCAAGGGGACTGGGGGGAGCAGGCCAGGGCACCCGCCCCGAGACTCGCACCAGGTGCCCCGCCTGGTGGCGAGGGGTGTCCTGTGTCCCCGGCCAGTGCCTGGAGTGCCTGGCGGGTGGCAGGGGGGCCCCCTCCCCTCGGGGGGGGGCTGGTCCTGGAGGCGTTGGACGTGTACGTGCACCTCTGAGTCGTCCCCTCCCCTCCTAGGCCGTTTGAGGTTTGGAGCGGCCGAGTTGCACTAGGTCTCTCCCAACACACTGCATATGCCCTGGCAGTGTGGGGTTTTTATGTTTTGATTTCACTACGTGAAGGCGGAAATCCTGGAAATCCCCTCTGCATGCCCACCAACGTACCAACAGCGCTTCGTGGCCCCACAGGAAGCTCCACTGAAGGCCCAAATGGCTGTGATCACGTGCGTCCGCGCCACCCATGTCGCCACGCCCCGCACGTGCTTCGTGAACCCATAGGGAGCTCAACCAGATGCCCCAGTGGCTGTGATCACATGCGTCCCCGCCACCCATTTCGGCACACCCCTCATCGTGTCCCCATAGGGAGCTCCACCGAATGCCTCAATGGCTGTGATCACTTGCGTCCCCGCCACCCATGTCGGCACACACCTCACACAATTCCTGGCCCAATCGGGAGCTCGACCGAATCCCACAATGGCTGTGATGACTTGCGTTCCCGCCACCCATGTCGGCACACCCCTCACACGTTTCGTGACCCCATAGGGAGCTCCACCGAAGACCCCAGAGAATGTGATGACATGCGCCCCCGCCACCCATGTCGCTACACCCCTCACACGCTTCGTGACCCCATAGGGAGCTCAACCGAAGACCCCAGAGGCTGTGGTCACATGCGTCCCCGCCACCCATGTCGGCACACCCCTCACACGCTTCGTGGCCCCATAGGGAGCTCCACCAAAGGCTCCCGTGGCTGTGATCACATGCGTCCCCGCCACCCATGTCAGCACACCCCTCACACGCTTCGTGACTCCATAAGGAGCTCCACCGAATTCCCCAGTGGCTGTGATCACTTGCGTCCCCGCCACCCATTTCGGCACACCCCTCACGCGCTCCGTGGCCCCATGGGGAGCTCCAGCGAATGCCCCAGTGGCTGTGATCACATGCGCCCCCGCCACCCATGTCGCCACACCCCTCACACGTTTCGTGGCCGCATAGGGAGCTCCACCGAAGGCCCCAGTGGCTGTGATCACTTGCGCCCCCGCCACCCATTTCGGTACACCCCTCACGTGCTTCGTGGCCTCATGGGGAGCTCCAGCGAAGGCCCCAATGGCTGTGATCACATGCGTCCCCGCCACCCATGTCAGCACACAGCTCACACGCTTCGTGGCCCCATAGGGAGCTCCACCGACGGCTCCAATGGCTGAGATCGCATGCGCCCCCACAACCCATTTCGGCACATCCCTCATACGCTTCGTGGCCCCATGGGGAGCTCCAGCGAAGGCCCCAGTGGCTGTGATCACGTGCGTCCCCGCCACCCATGTCGGCACACCCCTCACGCGCTCCGTGGCTCCATGGGGAGCTCCGCCGAAGGCCCCAATGGCTGTGATCACATGCGCCCCTGCCACCCATGTCGCCACACCCCTCACACGTTTCGTGGCCCCATAGGGGGCGCCACCGAAAGCCCCAATGGCTGCGCCCGCATGCGCCCCCGCCTCCGATTTCGACACCACACCTTCCAGCGCTTCGCGGCCCCATCGGGAGCTCCACCGAAAGAGAATACATACGCAGCACTGCAGTATTAACAACTGCATATGGTTGGGCCCTTCGCCAGGAGAAATCGTGCAGGCGGGGCCATCTCGCACAATCTACAACATGCTCCGATCGGGGCGGCTTAGCTTGCAAAACGACTCAGAAGCGGTAGGATATTGGGCACCGCCAGTGTGCCCGACGGCCTCGAGATCCGACCAGGCGGCCCAGACATCGGCCTGCCAAGGCTCTAAGGCGGTCCCAAGAGGCCCTCAAACAGGCCTGAAGACGCCCCCTAAGAAGTGCCGAAATACGCTGGTGAGGTTGCGCACAGACAGCTCCCCCAGGTAGTCTAGATCGGGCCTGTTCCCCTACAGGGGGATTTTGGACGAAAAATAACAACAGTACCCTACATGATTCAAACCTACAAACAAAAATACTTAGAACAAATATCCCCAGACTTGTTTTTTACTATGTTTGAGCCTTCTTCCTGCAAAGGGAAAGGCCCGACGTAAAGGTAGTCCTGGCTGGCCTCAACGAGCAGTCCTGGCTGGCCTCAGCAGGCCGCCCGAGCAGTCTGGGGCGGTGTCAACACCCCGGCCCTGCGGAACGTCCCCAGTAAAGGGGCCCTGGGACACGCAAAGAAATAGGCACAAATAGCAGGATTCCCCACATCTCCTCATATTCTCTGGGTGTTCGTCTTCCCCCACCACTTCCCATATTTTCCCATCTTTTTTCTTGGGGATCGACGATTGATTGTGTCTGCGTGCTTTTGCCCCTCCTGACCCAAGGGCGTCGCCCGAGGCGGCGCCGGGATGCTGAGACCGCCGCAGGCTACTCGGGAAGCCTGCTGAGGCCAACTGGGACTGTTCGGGGGGCCTGTTGAGGCCAACTGGGGACTTCAGGTCGGGCGAAAGGGGGGGATAGCAAAAGGGGGTTTGAGAATCAGCTCACGTAGCTGACTTTCCCGGCGCCTCCCGGCGCCAGAGGCGACTATGTATCGAGGAATTGGCCCCTCGGCGAGTCCGAAACCAGCTGCATGCAGCAAATTTCGTACCCCCCCCTTTCCCAATCCCCCCCTTTCGCCCGGCCCGAGGACTGCCTGGAGGAGCTGTCTGCGCTCAACTCACAGCCTTACCAACGCACGCCGCCAAGGAAAAGCACCGATAGCCTTTTCGGCGTGCTTCCCTTCAGGGTCCTCTGGGCCGAGATGGCCCTGGGAAGGCCCATCAGGCCCTCACGGGGCCCTCCGCCGCCCCTGGCGCGCTCCGCGCGCCAGGGAGGGGGGTCCAGCGCCGATCCGAGAAATCCACGCGGACCTCCGAGTTTTTATACTTATGCCACTTTTTGTTCCCCTACTCCACAGCACCCTCCAGGTCCCCCAGGTGGCCCCAAGTGGCCACAACGTGATCCCCGAGAAGTCAGCCAGGGCCCCCTGTGGGTCCCCCTGCCCGCGAGATCCTTCCGCCTCAACCCCACCCCCCAAGTGATGGGCGTGTTTTCCACCACCACCACCACCAGAAGTTGGAGGGGGGGGATCCTCCTCCTCCTCCTCTTCCTCCTCCTCCTCCGCCTCCTCCGCTTCCTCCTCCTCCTCCTCCTCGTCCTCCTCCTCCTCGCCCTCCTCCTCCTTCGCCGCTCCAACTTGTGGTGGTGGTGGTGGTGGTGGAAAACAGGCTCATCAACAAGGGATCCCAGACCCGAAACTTGATCCCCCCTCCTCCCCCTGGGGCCCAGCACCCCGACGCCGGGCGAACTCCCCAGGGAGCCTCCGAGCTGCTGCCCGGGGCGCGGAGGCGCGGCTCTCAATTGGCTGCCCTGGGGGCTCCCGGAAGCTTGTTTAATAAAAAATAGGAAGCGACAAAAAGAAACCAGGGCCCCAAGAGAGGGCAGAAACGCTTCCACGGCGCGCAGGAGGGCCTCAGGACGCTGCAAGACGCCCTAACAGAACCTCAAGAGCACGGCCCAGGAGGCTCGGAGAGGCATCATTCATTCCCCTGCGGGTTTTCGACGCATTAAAATCGTCTCGCCTCGTTGATTTATCTGACGCTCGAAGACGGCCCAAAGAGACCTCCCAAATCACTCCAAGACGGCCCAAGAAGCTCCTGAGAGTACCTCAAGCCAGACCGCCTGAGGGCGGCCATTTTCGAGTGCCCACACGGCCCACGAGAACTCTCAGACAACCCCACAAGGCCCCAGGAGGGACCCAAAAGGAGCCCCAGAGGGGGAACACGATCTGCCTTTTCGAGCCCTTAGGGGAACAAAAAGTGACATAAACATAAAAACTCGGAGGTCCGCGCGGATTTCTCGGATCGGCGCTGGGGCCCCCCGGCGGCGCCTCGGGCGCCGCCCCTGGCGCGCTCCGCGCGCCAGGGAGCGCGAAGGAGGCGCGCCAGGGGCGGCGCCGCGGAGCGCGCCAGGGGCGGCGCCCGAGGCGCCGCCGGGGGGCCCCAGCGCCGATCCGAGACATCCGCGCGGACCTCCGAGTTTTTATGTTTATGTCACATGTCACTTGTTCTTCCCCTACTCGAGCCAACCAGCCCAGAAGGCCCCCCGACAGCGGGAGCAAGCGCCCTCCGGGCGGCCACGAGGCCCCGGAAGTCTCCCGGGAGGCCCGCGAGGAGGCTCCGGCAGGCCTCCCTGCGAGGAGGCACCGCGAGGCCTCGCAGCTCTGGCTTCCAAGAGGCCCCGCCCCCCCCGCAAGAGGCCGCCGCAGGGCCCCCTTATGGGGTGGGGCCTGTTCTCGGGCCCTGGGGCCAGCAGCAATGCGGGGGCGGGGCGGAGCACTGGCCCCGGGGAGGGGGCCACATGCGAACCTTACCCCTACACCCTCCCCCTCCTCCTCCTCCTCCTCCTCCTCCTCCTCCTCCTCCTCTCCTCCCTCCTCCTCCTCCGCCCCTCCTCCTCAATCCTCCTCCTCCTCCTCCTCCTCCTCCTCCCTCCTCCTCCGCCCCCTCCTCCATCTCCTCCTCCTCCTCCTCCTCCTCCTCCTCCTCCTCCTCCTCCTCCTCCCCCTCCTCCTCCTCCTCCTCCTCCTCCTCCTCCTCCTCCTCCTCCTCCTCCTCCTCCTCCTCCTCGTCCTCGTCCTCGTCCTCGTCCTCCTAGGACTGGCCGCAGGCAGCTGCACACTCACAGGCAGCACCTCTAGGGGGCCACACGCGAACCCTACCCCTACCCCCCACGATTTCTGGGGGGGAGGGTGGGGTTCACTCCGCTCGGGAACTCCCGCGCGAAGTGAACTCCACCCTCCCCCTCAGAAATCGTGGGGGGTACAGCCGGGGCGTTGACCTAAGGAACGATGAATAAGGAACAAGGCCCCTTTATACCTTAAGTGTAACTTCGATGTCCGATCGAAAACCAGAGGTGCACCCAAGGCAGTCAGGAACACCTCTGAGGAACACGGCGCCCCTCCTAAACGAATAGGGTTCCTTCTTCAGCGCCCCGACTGTAAGGGTATAGGTCCGCGTGTGGCCCCCTGCCCGGGGAGAGGGCCGGGGCCTCGCGGGGCCGCGCACGGCAAGAAGCAGGCGTGGGCGGATGTCGGGGCCCCCGTCCGACCCACGGGGGCACCGCGACGGCCCAGCCGGCCTCCACGGCGGGCGCCCAAAGACGGCCCCGGGGGCCCGAAGGCGGCTCTCGAAGAGGGGCCCGAGGTGTCCGAACAAAGGCCCCCAGGCTGGCCATCGCTCGGACGTCCATGTCCTGTGTGTTTTTTTTGGGGGGGGTCGTGCGTGGCTTTTTTTCGCCAAATGATCGAGGATGCTCCTCGATGGCCATCGCCGAAGGAAAAACGCACGCGTCCGAGCGATGCCAAGCAGGACGACCCAAGGGGCCCCCAAAACGACCCCCAAAGAGGACCCCAGGAGAGCCACAAGGCAGCCCCGAGAGGCCCCCAAGACGGCATCCGAAGGGACCACACGGCGCAAGAGAGCCTCAAGACGGCCCACAACGCCCCCAAAGACCCCAAGAGGCCATAAAGAGGCCAAGAATCCCCCAAGAACCCCCAGACGGCCCAGACACCCGCGGAGTTGTATACGAATGGCGCGTTGTTGCTGTGCTCATCGGAATCTGTCTTTGGCGTTGCCTCGTGCTGACACGTGGTGAATGCACTTTCGGCGGCGACGAGAAGGGCGAATAGCCCAGGGGCGGGCATTAATCACACGTATTCGTCCGGGAGCCCTGTCGAAGGCATAAATCCTCGGCGCCCCTGGATACATGTACTGCTCTCCCCTGGGCTATTCGCCCCTGTCATCGCCTCCGACACGTGGCCCTCGTGGGCATTGGCACGTTCGTCCAGGCGCTACAACCGGAGGGGAAGTGCGCACCCGCCCCCCGTCGTGGCCCTGGCAGCGCCCCGGGGCGGGCAGGAACGGCACGGTAAACGAGCAGAGCACGCCACCCGCCACCCAGTCTTCACGTGCGCCGCACGTGCGAAGCGCGGGGAATCTCCAAGAGAGCACCAAGAGGCAATGCAATAGGCATGCAACGTTACGGTAGCGCAGCGCTACACCATCGCAGCGGTGTTCCCCGAACGGCCACGAGATGGCTCTGCCGAGCCTGTCGGGCGGAAAGGGCACGTTTCCGAGAATTACTGTGCAGTCGCTGAAGCAAGTAGCCTCCCAGAGTTCGTGCAGAAAGGCTCCAAGGAAGACCGTCAAAGAAACGCATACCGCGCTCACTTTCTAGATAGCCGCGAATGGGCCAGAGGCTCTACGAGGCCTCAAGAGGGCATAAGAGAAGCCCACAGAGCACACAAGCACACTGCAGCCAGTGCTTAGTCGACAAAAAAGGAAGTTTGGGATGGCTGTCGCGAGCACTGCAATGGACATGTACACCTCGGTCGCTTGGCCCAGGCGCGCTCCGCAACGCCCAGCATGCTTTACCCGTGAACTTCTTGTTGGGTTTCAGCTGCCGAGGCTCTGGCCCAGATGGGACACGCTCTTGTCCTTCAATTACGCTCTGCAGGGCGCCCACATGATGCCTGTACAGTTGGGCTGCTGAAAGAAGGAACGCTAAATGAGGAACGAAGCCCCTCCTTGGCCCTGTAAGCGCCTCCGTGCCCCAGGAGGGCAAGAGGAACAGCACTGGAGGAACCGAAGGAACATCGAGCCCCTTTCCGAACCCGAATGGTTCCTTAGTTCAGCGTCTTGGCTGTATGTCTTTTCTGACCTTTGTCCCTTGCTTCGTGCTCCCCGCTCTCCCTGCCCACCTCCGCTCGCCATGGCGTCGTCTCCCTGAGCCACCCCGTCCCCTCCCGCTGCCTCCCCTGCCCCACTGTGCGCGCAGTGCTTCCGTTGCTTCTCCCGACCCACGCGTGCAAGCGCGCTGGTTGTGAGAGGCTCGAAGCGGTGCTGGCGCCTCTCCAAGAACGCGCAACGGAGAGAGAGAGAGAGAGAGAGAGAGTAAGATAGAGAGAGAGAGAGAGAGAGATGACCACCCCGCGGACGCGCGGGCCGCCGACGAGAGGTCGGCATCGCCCCCGCAGGACTTGGCTGCGCGCCAGCGGCAGGGCCTCGACCCTGTCCGCTGCCGCGCCGACGATGGCGAGTCAGTCAGTTTCGCGTTTTGTCACCGTCGTTCACGGCGAACGCTTCGTTGAAATCTGCAGCATGCAGGTCAATCACCGACCGATCGAATTCGAGAGGACTGCTCATCAGGGCCGCCCGCATGGGGCCAAGGTAGATCGGGCCGGTTTATCCCGCCGCGTCGCCGATTCAGTGGCGATGCGCTGGCGACGCCGGGAGGACGATACTTGGCTTCTGGACCGAGCCACATCGCCGATGCATCGGGGATGCGGCGCGATCCATCGACTCCATCTACCCGGCCGCAGGAGGAGGAGCAGGAGGAGGAAGAGGAGGAGGAGGAGGAGGAGGAGGAGGAGGAGGGAGGAGGAGGGGGGGGCCTGAGAGGGAGGAGGAGGAGAGGAGGGAGGAGGGAAGGGGGGGGGAGGGAGGGGGGGGGAGGAAAAAAAAAAGGGACAAAGGAGAGGAGGAGGAGGAGGGAGGAGGAGGAGGAGGAGGAGGAGGAGGAGAAGCAGGAGGTTGGGGAGAAGGAGGAGAGGAGGAGGAGGAGCAGGGCGAGGAGGCGGGCGGGAGGAGGGGGAGGAGAGGACGGAGGAGGAGGAGGAGGAGGAGGAGGAGGAGGAGGAGGAGGAGCAGGAGGAGGGAGGAGGAAAGGAGGAGGGGGGGAGGAGGAGGAGAAGAGGAGGAGAAGAGGAGGAGGAGGGGGAGGAGGAGGGAGGAGGAGGAGGAGGAGGAGGAGGAGGAGGAGGAGGGAGGAGGAGGCGGAGGCCATGCACAGAAGGCGGCCTGCTGACCTGGCCACTCTGCGCGCGTGCACGCGGACGCGCAGGTGGCGCACCGCGGGGGCCACCCGTGGGAGAGAGACCCTGTAAGCGGCGGTGCTCTCCCCTCGGGCGCCCAGCACCCTGCAGGCCGCGGGCCGCGGGCCGCGGGCCGCGGGGCGCGGGCCGCGCTGTAAACGGCGGCCCGACCGGGTGCCCCGACCTCTGCCGACGGGGAAGGGCTCACGGCGCCCGGCTCCGGCCTCTTGGGCCGTCTTCAACGCCGTGAACGCCGAAAAGCAGCGCATGCTGAAAATGTACCTCTTCCCCCTAGGAAAGCAATGATTTGGGCCTCCTGGTGGCCCCTTGGGACGCGTCTTGGGGGCCTCTTGGGGCTTCTTGGGGTGGACCAAGGCCCTCGACCTTCGTCCCCTACCAGGGCTCGACCAGAGCAGAGCTTTCCGTTCTCGCTCCGGGTGCTCGTCTTCCCTCCTGCTGCCTGCCTTCCCTCCGCCTTTTTCCCAACATAACGGCATCGAGACGGAAAAAAGGCCCAGGAGATCGCCATGACACCGCTCGGGTCCAGCCCTGGCCCGCACTGAGCGGACGCCTGAAGGTATGGAACGCACTGTTCCGCCATCGGGGGCGCCTGTCCCAAGGAGGTGTCTCCTCTGACGGCGCGCGGGGATGACCATGAACGTTCTAAGTCACCCGTCCGCATTAGGACGAGCGCCCCCGATTGCGGAACGGCTTGCTTCCTTCCGCTCTTCGTCCGCCACTTTTCGGGATCCACCATAGGAGGGGGTGACCCTGAGAGAGGGGCATGAATTCGATCCGCTGGTGCACCGAACTGCCGCAAGCAGATGTCCCCCGCATGCCCCACCTGTCGGCAACTCTTGCGGCAGTTGCCGGCTGCTGGGGGGCAGCTTTTGGGGGGGGCGGTTCGGTGCAAAAGCCGCTCGACCTCACACCCCCCCTGGGGCCCCCCCCCCTAGAGGCCTCCTGGATGGGGTCGGAGTAGATGGGGCTGGAGGATCGCGCCGCATCACAGATGCATCGGCGATGCATCGGCGATGCAACGGCGAGGCATCGTCGGCGTGGGCGATGCCTCGGCAACGTCGACGTGAGCTCCACATCGAGCCGCATCGGCGATGCACCAGTGGCGGGATCCCGAACCCTGCGCGGGGTCTTCCGCGGCGCATCCGTCCGCGCGGGTTCCCGGGGCCCAGGGGCGGTCCCGCGGGGCGGTCTCCCGCAGGGTCGGGACGGTCGCCAGCCGTGTGATCGCCCCCCCACCGTCGCCAGAGGTCGGGGCCGAGGCAGATCGCATGTGGATCTTGCACGGAGCCCAGGCGCGACTAGAGGCAGAAGCAAATCGGCAGGAATAGGCGGCGCGCCCGGGGGAGAAAAAGAGAAGGAGAGGGCCTTCTCGGAAGGCTCGGAGGTTCCCTGGACTTCTGAGAAGTCTTGCAAGCCTTCCCCGAGGACAGAAAAAGCTTCTCAGAAGGCCGGAGGCCTTCCGAGAAGTCCCACCACCGTCTGAGAAGGCCTTCTTCTTCTTCTCATTTCTCCCCCCCTCGCTCGCATCCGAATGAAGGTACCCTTTTGGCGCCCCGCGCGGATTTCTTGGATCCGACGTATTTCCGACGTGATCCGACGAGAATCCGACGTGGATCCGACGTAAATCGGGTCTCAAGTTGCCGCGCGAGGCCTCCAGGAATGCCTTCATAACCAGCCCCCTCCTCCACCCGAGGAAGAAAAAACAGCATGAGCATAGACTGTTGGCGCGCCGCGCGGATTTCTTGGATCTGCGCTGGACCCCCCTGGCGCGCGGAGCACGCCGGAGGGGCGGCGCCTGAGGCGCCGCCAGGCGGGGCCGGGTGTGGACCCAAGAAACCCGCGCGGAGCGCCAAAAGTCTATTGAAGGGGCCCTGGGACACACACATAAATACATACACATAAAAGGATTCCCCATATCTTCTCATGTTTTCTGGGTTTTCGTCTTCCCCCCCACTTCCCATGTAGTCCTACATTTTCTTGGGGGTCGACGATTAATTGTGTCTGTGTGCTTTTTCCCCTCCTGATCTATGCTCATGCTGTGTTTTCTTCCTCGGGTGCAGGAGGGGGCTGGTTATGAAGACATTCCTGGAGGCCTCGCGCGGCAACTTGAGACCCGAGTTACGTCGGATCCACGTCGATGTACGTCGGATTCACGTCGGATTACGTCGGAATCATGTCGGATTGACGTCGGACTGACGCTGGAGCATCGCCGCGCGAGCGTCGAGTCATAGCCTACATAGCTGACGTGTGGACTAGATAATGCAAATATTCCGCGCCGCGCGAGGCCTCCAGGATTTTCCTCAAAAGGCTGGGGGTCCCTGGACGAGGAAGTCACTGGAGTCTGCAGGCGTAGTGCTACCGCAGCGGACGCGGAACGAGAACCAGCGGGCCTCGTTCTCTCGCCACGGCGAGCCTCGGCCAGGAATGGGTTCCTCCGCTGTAGACCTGCTGGCCATCACTCGGACGTCCATTCCCCGTGCATTTGTCGGTGATGTGCGTGGTTGTTTCTCGATGGTCCAGGATCCTCCTCGATGGCCCTCGCCGAGAAACCAATGCGCACGTCCGAGCGATGCCAAGCCAAAAGAACAGCCCGAAAACGAAAGCCCCTCCCAAGCCCAGGACGACCCTTCCTCCACCGTGCAGCTGACGGGAGAACGCACGGTGCCTCCTCTGAAGCTTGGGGCAACCGTGCGGTGCCCGACGCTGGAGGGGGCTGCCAGGTCGGCCGCGGAGCCCGGCGGCTCGCTGGAGACCCTCGGCGCCGCCCCCGCGGGCTCTCTCGCCGCAAGGGCGCGCCGGGAGCCACCGCGCGCCGACGGCCCCCCCCCCCCGCAGCCGTGCCCCCGGCCCGAGGCTCCCGGGGGAGTGCCCGGCCCCCAGGGGTGCAGAGTGCTGCGCACGGCCCCGGCCGCTGCCCGTGGCCAGGCACGAGCTGGGCTGGCCGAAGGCTGCCACCTGGGTTTCGCGTACCCCTTTGCGCAGGGGGCATCACATCCACCCCGACAGTAACCACTCCGACGCGCGAAGCCGCCTAGTCAACGCATCCGAAGAAGGAATCGAGCAGGGCAGGGCTGTTTCGCAGACGCCCAGGGCCGTTTGGTGAACGCCAATGGTCCGGTCCGGGTGGCTGTTCCTCCCTGGCATGAAGCCGAAGATGCCCAAGACGCAGATCCGCCCCAGGACGCCCACTACGGTCAGTACCGCGCAGACAAGCTAAAGGCGGCAGGCTCGATGCTGGCCCATGCTGACCACGACGTGGGCGCGGACTGGCGGCATGTCCCCCTCTCGTGAGCAGGGACCGAACGTCCCGACATTCCTATTGTCCTACCACGAAATGCTCTTAGAACCCAAACATGCTCTAAGAACAAATTACGCTACCGAGGAACCCCACACACTTAACTTAAATCTTGTGTGTTTGCTTAAGTTTATAATATATGCGCAATTCTGCGTTCTCAGCCCTCGTCGCGAATGTTCCCCTATGTGTCATCCAACGCCATATTGCTTGAACCTCCTCCCTCTTCCTAGCCTTCTATCCTCCGTCGAGGACAGATTCGAGCCAGCCAGCGGCCGCGGTGAGGGACCACCCCGTGCGCACCCTCGATGGTGTCGAGAAAGTGCCACGCCTGCTATGCCCTGGACGACCGTCGTGCGTAGCGGCCGCGGTGAGGGACCACCCCCTGCGCAGCCTCTATGGTGTCGAGAAAATGCCGCGCCTGCTATGCCCTGGACGACCGTCGTGCATAGCCGCCGCGGTGAGGGACCACCCCCTGCGCACCCTCTATGACGTCGAGAAAGTGCCACGCCTGCGATTCCCTGGACGACCGTCGTGCATAGCGGCCGCGCTGAGGGGCCACCACCCCTGCGCCCTCCTGTGGTGTCCGAGAAGTGCCACTAACCTCATCCTGCCACGATCCTGCGGACGTGTCACGGATAGAGGCGGCCGCGCTGAGAGGACCACCCCCCCACCCTCTGCGCACCCCCTGTGGTGTCGAGAAAGTGCCACTCCTGCCACGATCTGCGAGCGTCTCACGGATAGAGGCCGCGCTGAGGGACCACCCTCTGCGCACCCCCTGTGGTGTCGAGCAAGTGCCACTCCTGCCACGATCTGCGAGCGTGTCACGGATAGAGGCCGCGCTGAGGGACCACCACCCTCTGCGCACCTCCTGTGGTGCCGAGAAAGTGCCACTCCTGCCACGATCTGCGAGCGTGTCACGGATAGAGGCCGCGCTGAGGGACACCACCCTCTGCGCACCCCCTGTGGCGTCGAGAAAGTGCCACGCCTGCCACGCCCTGCGAGCGTGTCACGGATAGAGGCCCCGCTGAGGGACCACCCCCTGCGCACCCCCTGTGGTGTCGAGAAAGTGCCACGCCTGCTGTGCCTGGACGACTGTCGTGCATAGCGGCCGCGATGAGAGACCACCCCCTGCGCACCCCCTATGGTGTCGAGGAAGTGCCACGCCTGCCACGCCCTGCGAGCGTGTCATGGATAGAGGCCCCGCTGAGGGACCACCCTTTGCGCCCCCCCAGCGGTGTCGAGAAAGTGCCGCGCCTGCCACGCCCTGCGAGCGTGTCACGGATAGAGGCCCCGCTGAGGGACCACCCTCTGCGAACCCCCTATGGTGTCGAGGAAGTGCCACGCCTGCTCGCCTGCCGCATGGCTTGCCGTGTGTATGTGTATGATGCGTGTGCGGCCATATCGGGACATATCTCTCGTGTTGCCCAGTATGTCGTGCAGACGTCTTGGGTGTATGATGCAGTGAACATGCGTCTTGTATGTGCGAATGTGTGCATGCGTGCGGCTGTGTGCGAGTGTGTGGGTGAGGAAGCGGGAGGTGTGTGAGACGCGGGTGCGGCGCGGCAGGGAAGAAAACCAGAACCCCACGACG